TGTGTGTGTGTGTGTGTGTGTGTGTGTGTGTGTGTGTATGTGTGCATGTGAGTGTATGCACATGGCGGCTCTCATTTATCTGCAAGGACACAGTCCAAGATATCCCCCCTCAGGGAATACATAAAGCCACAGATAGTACCAGCCTCTCTCTATACTACAATTTTCTTCATGTACACATATTGCTCATGATGAAGTTAAATTTAGAAATTAGACACAGTAATGGGTTAGCAGCAACAGGTAATGATAAAATAGAAAAATCATAACACATTTTCTGCTCATGCCTTCCACTCACAAATGGCTGCCATTTCTATTTTAACTAAGGACTTTTCATGCACTGTGGTTATAAATTTTGGCATTTGAAGTCTGGCAGCAAAACTGGCACAACTTTCTTTTTCCTATTTCACAATTTCATGAATAGATTTGTTTTTTACACTAGATTCTAACAACTATCTTTTAACAATTTTCTTCTTTTCTTAAGTCAGTCAAGAGTGATCACCTCCTCACTTTACGATCTTTCTGGGACATATCCTATTTGTCAATCTCACAGCCATTATAAAACAAAATCATAGTTATTTAATCACAAGTACAGTGATATCATGGCAGTGGAGCCTATTGACTAAATGACTAATGAACAGATAGTGTATACAGAGGGCATTTATTGGCAAAAGATTTTTTATGTTACATATGTGTAATGATATGCACTTTATTGTTTTTAAGATTTTATTTATTGTTCTTATTTTATGTGTATAACCGTATTGCCTGCATGTAGGTAAGTGCACCCATGTCATGCAATGCCTGCGGAGGACAGGAGAGGCTGTTGAATACCCTGGAACTGGAGTTACAGACAGTTGTTAGCTGCCATGTGGGTGCTGGGATTCGAACCCAGGTCTTCTGCAAGAATAGCCAGTGTTCTTAACCACTGAGCCATCTCTCCAGCCCCATGATATGCACTTTAAAAGTTATAGATTGTTTCTGGAACTTTCTCTTTCTATTTGAACCACATGATCTTATATGACTAGTGTCACAAATGGCAAAATCACGTAAAAGGGTAATGTGTGTGTGTTTCAAATTATATATTTATCTCTGTGTGTATATGAAATATATATAAGGTATTTTTTCTGATAACTCTATACATACTTCAGTAAAACACTGATAATCTATTATTCAAAGAATATGGTATTTTAGCTCATCCATGAATTAACCTTAAATATTTTAGCACACCATATTAGCAAATTTGATGCTCTCATAATTATCAAGAAAGATTTTTTATTTATTCATTAATTGAGTATATCTCCAAATACTGAGCCACAGTAGTATAAACCTCAATTAAGAGTTACGAATCTCAGTTCAAGAATTTGTGGGCCATAAGCCAGAAATAGTTCCCCACACATAGAAGCACAGTATTATTCTCAACTGTAAAATAAGGTACTGGTGTCTGAAGTCATCATCTTAAACATCATCATTATCATCAACAACAACGATAATGATATCTAACTGCTTAAATTCAGTGCTTCACATCCCTTGTAACTCTCACAAGTGAAATAAAAGCACACAAGAATGGGGTTTACGTTTGTTATGTGTTCAACCTCAACAGTGGTTAGCATATAATACCTATTCAATGAATACGTGTCAAATGAATGACTGGGTGATTGATGCTGGAGCTATTTGCTTTGTTTCGTGGTTCCCAAGTAACAGCTCCAGATAATGTGTATGTTGTTTAGGTTCACAGTTGATAACAGATGGAAGCTGACTTTGAGTCCAGGGTGATCTGGCTATAATGGCTGATCATTTAATTTCTTCTTCTTAGCATAAATCTTTCATAATTCTTTGATTTATACATACATTAAAAATATCAGTTACACATTTTATAAGACATTTATATAATATCATTCCCAGTAAATGCTTAAATAATTTGGTCATTATCAAATCTATTATACAATTCATCTGGAAATTAGCAGTGCCACAAGATACAGTAGGTTTAAAGGAAGGCGAAGACTACCCTAAGATGCTCTGATGCTGCAGAAGAAACTAGGTGAGTAGCAACCCTCCTAAAGCATTTGCAGGGGCCTCTGGGAATATGAACTACACGTTTCATTTATCATCTCTAATTTATTTTCTTGTTCTAATGTTATGAGCCTTGTATTGCACATTAAGTTGTCAGAAGGCACTGACGTTTTATTTGACTGTTTTTCCAAAGACATCTCTAGAGAATACATGTAGAAGAATATTTAATGAGTATCAATTCAATAGGTGATGAATTCACTGAACATTTCTCCTTTGTACCTGGCCTCAACTTTTACCATTCTGCTTAGTTCTGAATCAGTCTTTTGAAGAACAGCAGTAGTTAATTCATACTTTATAGAAGTCAATTTCTGGTTCCAAAGTTGTATCCACTAAGTTATCTAAACATCAAAATATTTTTATGGGCTGTGAAGGATCTGACTACATGTGTCACCCCATTGAGCACCAGGGTTGATTTGGCTGATCTGGCTGGCTGGGTGGGTGTTCCTTTCCTCCCTCAGTGCTCCACCTGTTTTCCTCCCAAAGCTGTGGACTTGGTCAAAGAGGCCGTCCTTTGATATACAAGTAGTTGCACTCCCTTGCTAGAACCTACAAACAAGCTCTCAAAATATTCTTACAAAATGGGCTAACTACAGTCCCCAATTTTGAAGATGGAGTTACTGCAGCACATAGAGATCAGGAGGTGCCCAAGTTCATGAAGACAGGAGGTAGAAGAGCCAGAAGACAGTAAAAGGAAGAAAGAAAAATAATTTGCATGATATGTAGTAGACGAGCAATGAAGTGACAGCTCAGAGGTGATGGGTAAGTTGACACGGTGCTCCAGTCTCCTCACTGCATTCTAAATCCTTTTCTTCACCAGCTTTTGCTTCAGCCTCTCATCTTAAGTGTGGGAATACTAGAGTACTGATATCATATATACTTGTGGGAATTATGTAAATTAGTGCATGTAAAAGACTTGGAACAATCCTGGACAG